TCAACAACGGTTATAAGTAGTTAATCTGAGTTCTGTCCTTTAACGTAATCTCCGAGGGAAAAAAAACCCTATTCCAGCGTGTTACGATTCCGCCTGCATGAGCTCAATACTTAGGCGACTCTCAGCTATCTTCAGAAGCATATTGTACTGTAGAAATGCTTGTATTTTAAATACTGATTGGAAGGGGAAAAAATCGTTCTAAAACTTATTGAATTTCGGATCTGCAAAATAAAATTTTGTATCCGAATCGCTCTGGATACAAAAGCTGACACACATCACCGAAAAGAAAAAGAAACATATCTTATTTTATTCTGTATGTAAATCGATTTGAAGTAAGTGAACTATTTATTGTAAACATTTATATTTTTTGCAAAAAGCTATGGACGATGCATGCAAACATCAGCATGCAAGCTGGAAACAAAGCCAATTTTTGGAGAGAAAAATAAATTGTACTATAACAATACTGACCATATTTTACTTCTTATTTTGTTTTACAATTAAACTTTTTTACATAAATTCGTTTTTCCAGGACTTTTTTAGCATACGTTTAATAGATTATTTTGCAATGGCTTTGATATCCAGATAAAAATTAATATCAGATATTGATTTTGTAATTTAAAATCACTTTGCCAGATTTTCCTTAAACTGTGTTTTTCAATGCTTGATAATGTATAATGCGCGTCAAAATTTATTTTAAACTTTGATGGAAGAAATGTTTTAATAAAAATATGATTAAGCATTCTTTCTCCAATATGATTGATAATGAGGTTTCTTAACTTGATATTCCATAGGTGCCAATGTTAATTATTTGAGAATATGGTCTTTTTTCGCAAAGATTGAAAGTAGAATCCTAAGGCTGTTTTTCAAAAGCTCCGTTGAAATGTGAAATGGTGCTTTTTTGCGAATATGTGGCGTAACTACCACTATAAATATTAAATGCCAATTCCCTAGTATATAATACATTTTAAATTGATTTTATCTTGAGGTACCTTCTGATAGATGATGGTTGGCATAGTCTATAATTAAAATCCCTCAATTAATATGCTATTTTAATAACTGCTGTGAGGCTTGCAACTGTTACTTATAACTGTTAGGTCAAGTTTAGAGCGCTGTCTACGCTTATTTTGAAAATGGTGCAAAGCGTCAATATGGAGAAAAGCCACAGTTTTTTGGAAATGAAAAGCGTTTGTGGTCTAATTTTTTAATATTTGAAAACTCACTCCAATGCTGCATTACTTGGGCACATAAAATTTTGCAAAAGCTGAGTATAGAGCAGTGAAAAAATTCAATTGAAAAAGCAATTTTCATCTATGTGAAAAAATGTTACCAAATTGGTGATTTTTAAGAAAAGTTTAATAACTTTAAAAATCTTTAAGTTATTTGTCCAATCTAAAGCCCAGATAATTCTTCACGGCAAGATTATATATATAGTTTAAAATCATCGCATTGCTTCAAGTGTAAGGAACTTAAACAATGATATTTTATTTTCCTTAGCGACATAACTGCAAAAAACAGCGTTGATTATATATATTGAAGCATCACGTCCGGGTCACCAGTGAAGCGTAATGAATGGTTTGAAGAATAAACACATTAAATAATTATTATTTGCATTTATTTACAATTTATACATAACTAGTTTAGTTTAAATGCGGCATCAAATATTTAAGATGCAAATACGCAAAGATCAAATAATAGAACAACATTAAAATGCAATTCTAAAATGTAAGAATTAAAGTTGTAGTTAAAACAAACTTAAAGTTCATAAATAATTATAAAAACAATTAATGCAGAATATGATGAGTGATGTCACGTCGCTTCAATATATCAGTCTAATCATTTATTGTGAAAAATGAAGACGTTCGCGCCACCATAATATATTTTTATTATAAATATGTTCCTGCAACTAACAAAAAATATTTACTTTTTTGTGCACTAATATACTCTTTTCATGGAAGCAGTTTTTTCATCACTATATATTGCATGTGCGTCTCCTCGGCAGAGAATAGTTCAATTATGCTTTTGTGGGACTTCCGGTTTCAAAAAGTAAACCTTATTTTTTAATTAATTTCATCCCTGTCCTTGAACAGAAAATCTATATTAGATTTCCGACTCAGTTCCCCTGAAATGAGGTAAAAAATGTTGTAAAATTCATATCTTGCCAAATTCCGGAAATTCACCCATACAATTCCCACAGTGGACTGATCGTTAAGACACGGTTCCCAGCAGATCACCGAAGTCAAGCATCACTAGCTGCTGTCAGTGTGCGGATGGGTGACCACTTGGAACAGTCTGCGTAGGGATCGAAGGTGTGCGGTATTGGTCCTCGTTAAACTGTTCTAAAGTGCTCGACTTCTCATGCAGGTCGTTGGGCTACCGAAACGGGGGTGCCATTCCCTCTGCAGAGGATCAAAATTGTGATGGCATGTCTTTCGGATCATCATCAAGGATGTTTCCCAGACCGTCACCAATAGCCCATTGTGCAGCTCTAGCGCGACGTAAATGAACTACAACTACAACATCACCTAGATATGAAATTGATTTCGGAAGAAGTAAAATGTCTGTGACAGCTAGGAATGATTAACAATTATAATTTGATTGTAGGGCTTTTTTTTATAATGTGAAAGTAAGTAAATAAATTTGAATGAATTCTAGACTAAAAAGATAGTTTTGCTATCAGGTTTTCTCTTTTCCTGAGATTCCACAGCTTTGGGAACAACTACATGATTTAAGTAAATAGTACTTATTTTAATGTACCATTATTTTTATTATTGTAAAAGTTTTGACTATCTTTTATATTTCGCGTTAACCTCTTATCTGTCAGCTTCCTATGTTACGGTATTGGGAAATGTGCCTTTGTAAAAAAAAAATATGGTAAATTATATGGATATTTTATCCATATAGAAACCAATTCGTATAAAACACATTAAAATTGCTTGATTTTAGAACAGGATATATATCACAAGGTATATAATTTTATATTATTAAAGTACAGATATGTAAACTGCACCAGATTAATATTTCTTAAACAAAAAATATTGAGAACTACGAACTAAACTTGTCAGATTTTCGGATAATTTTGCCTACTTTCAAAAGGCTTAACTGCATCATTATCATCAAAATTTATCTGGTCGCCAGCCCTTTTTGCATCCATCTTGAGGTTTTAAATTTAAGGTGGTACTTTCTGGTAGCAGGAAAGCAAATTGGAGTGAGAAGAAAATGAAATATTTTGTATTATGGATAAAGATGCGAAGCTACAAAAATAAGCAGACATGGGCTAGAAGTTTATGTCTTTTTTTTCTTCAGATTTTCAAAAGTAAAAATTTCATTAAATCCGATTATTAAACATCAATTCCCTGTTATATAAGACATGCTAACTTGACTCAATCTTGAGTTACCTTTTGATAGATGGCATTGTCTAATGGTCTTTTCACCACATTGGTGCCCTGGACATGATATGAACATGCCTATTTTAATGAATGGTTCATATTGAGAAGTTGACTTGCTATTTGTGACTGCGTAATGGTCCTCCTCACGCTGTTGCAACTTGATTCAATCTTGAGGTACCTTTTGATAAATGAAGGTTGGCATTGTCTAATGGTCTTTTCCCCACAGCGTTTTACTTAAGCCTTTTAATTATTCAGAAAAAATGGTGAATAAAAACTCTATAAATCGATTTTATTAAACCAAGAATCATACATTGAAGGGCTACCACTCGAAAATACGTAATTGCTGTTCGAAGCAAGTTGGCAAAACAAAGCATATTCTTGTTAATACAGGGATGCCACGGGCGACTAGAAATGTAGGAAGTGGTAGAGACTCTCAGTTCATTTATATGTATTTAATCTTATGAATAATTCAATCAAAACTACTACCATGGCTTACATTGCAAATTATTCATATTTAAGGCACAGACATTCCTCACATTCACTTTCAATGTTAAACTGAAAGAAATGTGCTAGAAAAAGTTGCTAATTTTAATTTCTTAATATATTTTATTTGAAATGATTATATCCGCAAAAAAGAAATATCCTTTTTGCGGATATAATCGTGTGAGCTGATGAAGAGATTATATCTTTTCATTTTTTATGTTTTCCGGCTTTATAATATATATTTTTTTAAACTTTTCTAAATATATTTTATTTTAATAATTTTTCTCATCTCTTTGCTTTAATCTTTATTATTTTTCATGTTTTCACTGTATTTTTAACTTATTTTATGAATTCCATATAGTTGCAGCTTATGTGCAGTAAATAAAACTTATTAATTTTCTTCGTTTTTCGCTTTTTTTTTTCTTTTTATCCTTTTCGTCTTTATTGTACTATATCTATGTAAGGTTCACTTGTTCATGTGCAACATTCCGTCCTTATTACAAACTAGATGAGCCAGTCATCCGGGAAAGGGAGATTTTGGAAGAAGAGAACGAATCAGTTGCTAAAATACAAGATCCAATAGAAGACATCCAAGATCCTGAAAATCACTCCAACACCATATCGAGCCACTATGATCTGCTTCGCAATTGACGCCAGCCTGAAAGACTTAGACAAAATCTATGTAAATATTTACATTTCGCAATGAGCAGGGCCGAATGTAAGGATTCTTTTACGATTCTTACTTATAACGATTCTTTTTTCAAATGACAATTCTTACGTATTGAAATTATAGGTTTTCTAATGACAATTCTTATAACGATTCTTCTCTTAAACACAAATAAAAAATCAGGTAACAAATACACGTATACCAGAAATACAACTCAAAAGAGTATCAAAACTCAATGATCACGTTGTGAGACAAATGGCTTCAAAACACACCAAAAACAGTAGCCCGGAAGTATAGGCAGTCAAGAACTTGCAGCGCTTCCTAGTGTAGAGAACACCATCCATTACGAATTTCATATCAACTAACCTGAGGCTCTATAGGCTTCCACACTAAAATAGTAATTAACATAGTTTCTTATTAAATACGGAACAGCACAAAAATAGGCAACTTAAAACGTTCTATCATATGATATTTATTTATAATATTTGCAATTTAAAAATTACTAAATATAATATATACATGATAAATATTCCTCAATAATGAAACACAGTATCAATATATAATTGACAACTTATAATTCGTTTTATATAATCATGCTATTTACGCATAAGAAATTCCTAATAGAGTTAATTTGTTAAAAATCGTTTTGCGCTGAATTTCACTGTCACAATTTAAATTTAGTATCTATTGATAAAATGGAACAAAATTCCGCAGTTTGTGTGAATTGTGGCAATAATTGTCCAACAATTTATAAGAAATTTAGCTGTGATATAATAAAATTAAGTAATTGTGTAAGTTTTTCAAAAATGTCAGTTAATTTCATTATAAAAACGGAGAATCGCTACATTATTTCTCTAATAAATTATGAAGACAATTGAAAATTATGATGGAAAATTTAGTGACTGTTGCGATTTCTTTACATACCTCAAAGAAAATTTTCATTTGTGTACTCTTTTTTTTTTNCTGAAGATTGATTTCCTAAACATTAAACATCACTGGTTTTCCAAAACTGGTTTTTTTTTTTTTTTTTTTTTTTTTTTAAACCCTTAGTAGATAGTAATTTTCTATCACCATTTCTTATTGAGTATCAGCAAAATACGACCACAAAGCATTAATTAACAATGCTAAAATACAACTTTTTTTTAATTTAAAGAGGCACTCTTTAACTCTACCTTGCAATTCTTTCAAGAGATTTTTATTCCTTGTGGTGACTATTTGAATGGAGAAAAGAAATTTAATATATTTGCATTAATTTCGCCTGGTCAAGGACCTTCCGAAGTACAACATACTCTTTCCCCTTATCTTATTTTATAAGACAAAATTTGAACTGACTCCTCTAAATAGTTTTTGATAAATAAATATTTTGACTTTTTTGAAATTTTATTACTCAAGACACAATTTAATTGCGTTTTTTTAAATCTGATCATTTAAAAATACACAGTTTAAGTTAATGTAAAATTTTTTGTACTTAACATTTTAAATGTTTTCATCATTGTTAAATAAAATAATACTTATTCATAATTTATCCGAAATCATTTTTAAATAAATGAATTTTATAACTGTGCACAAAAATGTTTTATGATTCACTTAAATATTTCACTAAGTTCACCAAAATAAACAAAAAAATTATTAACAAGAAAAAGGTCAAGCGTTTGACTACACTTTTGACTAAAATATGGGGATAATATATGAGATAAAAATAAAGTCTAAATCAGTTGAAAGAAATGTTTGTTTATTCAGTTGCTTGGAAGTTATTGGCGCAAGAGCCGTTAACATATTTTTTCTGTGAAAGTATATTTTTATGTGCAATTTCGTAATTTAAAATATCTGCATAATGTTTTATGTTACGAAGTTAATTAGCATAAATAAATATGCTTATTTAATAACTTTCGCTAACAGCCAACCCAATTTTGAGTTTATGGCTTATAATGTTTGACTCTGTAGCTTTATAATTTTGAACCCAATCCAGAAGACAAGGGAACTCTAGGATCAAGTGTTGGGAGAAATTAGCCTTCGTGGAGGACGTTTTGATGGAACAAATCCGCATTTGCGTTGCATTAAGAGAAAAGCCTCCCATGGTTAGCCTGATAACAAGGGTCTCTTACCCATGATCCATCTACCACTGAGGATATTTTTGCGTGAGCATTGTGGTCGATGCGAGCCTTGTGCAAAATTCGGATCGACCAGCCATCATAGGGATTCAAAAGCGATTCACCTCAAAGAAATTCGATTCTTCGAGGTAAATTTCGGATGGCGAACATTCTGTCCCCTGTGCCACCAAGGTTCTAAATGTGTTTATTAAGTTAATAAGCATATTTAAGTTTAAATTCTCGAATCGTTAAGATCTTGTCACATGAAAATCTGATAACTAGTTTAAAAGTTGTACAGCTAGTCCATAATTTATTTTTGTACTGTTACTCTCTAATTTTCATAAAATTAATGAATTTTTTTAATGAAATTTTAATTAACTATTTTTATTTTAGGAGAAATGTGGTGGCTTAGTAGACAAATATGTAGAAACAGAATATTCTATTGTTATCATAGATATGCTATTACTAAGAAAAGAAGCCTTAAGACATATGTTATTCAATTCTAATCTAAAGGTAAACATCTTTCCTGCATACTGTATCCATTAAAAGTGAGTGTTTAGCTTTACCAGTGTAATAAGTGTGGCGTATCTACCATTACAAATATTAAATACAGGGATGAGATTCTTCCGCGGATCTCCGCTTTTTTTCAGATTTTTCCATTTTTCCCGCTAATTTCCGCTAAAAAAAATTTTGCACAAGTTCAAATATTTTATGAGGAATTTAATTTTCCGCGGAGGGAAATTATTGAAGTCCCTTTTCCTCCCTCTGAAGTTTCTCTAAAAATCATTTCCTTGGGATAAAACTGGTTGACCTTTATACAGGGATGAGTTTTTTTTTGTCTCTAGAATTTCAGCCTTTTTATCAAAAACTCCGATTCTCTAAAAGTTTAGTTTTTTTAATAAATATCCCGTTTTTTTTTTTTTTAAATTCAGTCATTGAAGTAAAATAACTATATTTATTTACGATTTTTGAAAATAAATAGAAAATTCAATCTACGCCTTAGCCGCTAACCCTTCCGCATTTTTACTTATTTTAGCTATTTTCTCCGATTTCACGCACAGAAAAAGATTTTCCGTATTTTTTATCCGTCGGCTGGATAGCTCGTATTTTCGTAATTCAGACGTCGCTGCTTCTTGTATTCTGGCGTGAAAACAAACAAAAAATAGAGGTTGATTTGCGGTGAAAATATTTATTTGCTCATTCAATTAATCTTGTAAATTTTTATTTATTATGTCTAAACAAAAACAATACAAACGAGCCTTTTAGAAATCACAAGTCCAGACTCTGCAAATATCTCGATTTTTATTCACGCAATTTTAATATCAATCATCGATTTTCGTATTTTCCTGATTTAAAAGTTGCACATTGCGATTCATACTTACGCTATTTAAATATCGTATATTATGATTCTTATTTACGATATTTAAAAGTCCAATATCGTGTTTTGTATTTATGCATTTTTAAAATCGCGATTTTATTATCAAATCTCGATTTTCGTATTTACCTGATTTAAAAGTTGAACGTTGCGATTCTTATTCAGGCGATTCAAATATTGTGCATTGCGATTCTTACTTATGAGATTTAAAAAATCAATATCGTGATTTGTATTTACGAGCTTTTAAAGCCCTATGTAGCAATTCGTATTCACACGAGCTTAAAACCCAATATTGTGATTCGTTTTTGTGGTTGTAATATCGCGCCATTTAAAAATTATGCATCGTGGTCAAAAAATTAAAAAATCATGATTTGTATTTTTGCCTTTTTTTAAATTCGATATAGAGTTTCATATTTATGTGATTTAAAAGTCTCATATCGGCATTTATATTCACATGGTTTACAAGTTTAAAAATCGCACTTTTTTGTGACATTTTTTATATATACACTGGTTATCATAAATTAAGGAAAATTCACAAAAATCGCGATAACTCAAGAAATTACACATGGANATTAACTATTTTTATTTTAGGAGAAATGTGGTGGCTTAGTAGACAAATATGTAGAAACAGAATATTCTATTGTTATCATAGATATGCTATTACTAAGAAAAGAAGCCTTAAGACATATGTTATTCAATTCTAATCTAAAGGTAAACATCTTTCCTACATACTGTATCCATTAAAAGTGAGTGTTTAGCTTTACCAGTGTAATAAGTGTGGCGTATCTACCATTACAAATATTAAATACCAATTCACTAGCATGTAAGACATCTTAACTTTATTCTTTCTAGAGGTACATTTTGATAGATGAAGGTTGATATAGTCAATAATTATATCCCTTTATTGGTGACCTCCAGACGCGATATGTACTCACCTACTTTGATTAATGGTACACATTTAACAGTTGATTTTTTATTTGTGACTGTGTCATTATCCTCCTTGCACTGTTGCTTCTCAGTCTCATTTACACACAACGGGATCTTGCACACACTCGACTGCTAATAGCAACAAAGATAGACCACACACACAACCGTGAACTTAATACAGCTCTCACGACAAACACTCAAAACTCGGTAAACTTAATATAGCTATTACAACAAACACTCTAAATTCAGTGAACTTAATACAACTCTCATCACCTATGTTCAAAATCCGATTACCTTAAATACACCTCTCCAGGTCTTTTGCAAAAACAGCAACTAATGGTATCGGCCAATCGAAATCTGTCAAAGATGAATTTTTGGATGGGGAGTAATGTGGCGTAACTACCACTACAAACATTAAATACTAATTCCTTAGTTAATAATGCATGTCAACTTGATTCTTTCTAGAGGTACCTTTTGATAGATGAACATTGATAGTCGATAAACTCTCCTCTTATATGTAATACTTATTTGTTAAAAATAATTTCTTTCTAATAACATATATTCGTAAAGCTAGATGATTGAAAAATATTATGGTAAAAAAATTAAATGACAATTATTTTAACTGAGTTAAACCCTGTCAAAGTCTGAAGTATAGATTGCAATGTGAAATTTTTCCCCTTTTCTATGTTGCTTAATTTAATCTATTTAAATACAGTTTGATTGAAGAATTTTTCAGGGGAAAAAATCTAAGCAAATGTATGTTTCAATTCATAATGTTATTATGTAATGTCAACTTTTTAAAAGATAGCCATAAATTTTTGTGTACATGTTTTTTGTTATATAAGTTGACTTTTTGAACTTCTAAATTGCAATGAAGGTTAGGAACACAATTTATACATTCGTAATTCATTCATTTGTGAGAAAACCTTTGCATAAAAGAGGTTTGATAAAGGTTGATGATGTTACCTATGCACCTGTACCGTTACATTTTGATCAAGACTGGTACAACAAGTGTATCAGAATAGCATGCAAAGTATCCAAAAGATTAAATATTTATTGAGTAAAGTCGTGCATTTTGAGCTAAGAATATGATTTCATACTTTATTTCATTTACTCTTAATTTCGCTCTAGCAAAATTAAGAAATTTTGCTACTGGCTAACTGTAGCATTTTGTAACAGTTGCCACTTTTTCCAAAATTGAATGTTTTAAAATGTTAAAACTTAATAAACGTTTGTTCTAAGTATTTCTCAAAATATGGTAAGCATTACAGGGTTGTTGTCTAAAATCAAGAAAAATTTTAACAAATAATCATGAAATAAAGTAATTTCCTGAATATTATATAATATCCATAATGATTCCATATTTGATAATAAAATATAATAATAAAAAATGTACACGAGGTTCATTTTTGACCAAAAAGTGGCAATCGGGCACCAATTGTCTGACAATTTTTTAATCGTCATTGTTTGTATTTAACCGCCTTGATGGTGACCGTTAATTTTGCCTTATATAACAGGTATATCAGAATACATGCTAAGTATATTAAAGGTCAAATAAATTTTGAGATACGCAGTTGATTTCATATACTTGTATATGTCTTCATATACTGTCATGCTTCATTGTAATTATGTATCCAATCCAAAGAAAAGCAAATATTATATCTGTTGATACCTAAAAAATATGCTTCTGTTTATCTCTAACTATTGAAGAATAAATGTATACATTTTGAGTTTAGAGTCTTTGTGTGGTGTAATTGATCTGTGCTATATTAGATTATAACTAATTAATCTTAAATTATGTGTTGTTTTCTAGGAGTGAAGCTAACTGTATTTTTTTTAAAGGTATTTCCTTTTGTTAATTTTTCAGCAAACTTAGTGAATGATTTTTTTCTATTTTATTTTAAAAAAATTTATTCCATTTATGTTGCCTTCTAATCAATTGAGAAGTACTATAACTGTATCATTAATATGCAGACTAATGTAAACTATAAGTGAGGGGCTAATTTACTCTGAAATCATGATTTCCTTTATAGAAATGAAGATATAATTATATAATACTTTAAAAATTTAATAATACACTAGCTCAACAGCTTTTAATACACTAACTCAATTTTCTTTTCTATTCATTTTTTTTCCATTAGCTCTAAACCATAAAGCTTTAATAGCTAAATTATCACAGAAATATTTTATTTTGTTTAAATAAACTATATCTAGTTTAAAAAAAAAATAATTTAAAAATTCCCTTTTTCTTATCAGATTAAAAGACTAACTCAAATTTATTTTTTATTTATTAATTTTATTTATGTTTTTAGTACTTTATGTGACATTCTAATAAATAAATACATACTTTTTGTCTGTACAACTGATAAATGTAATATTTCATTAAAAAAAATAAAGAAAGAAATGAAAAGAAGATCTTTGCTTTCATTAATTTTCAACAGACTTTTACAATAATTTAACTTTTTTTTAATTTTTATTTCCTTCACATTGCATTATAATCTATTGATAAAATTCTAATGTCTTTAACTAGTTAACTTTGTAATTATTTTTATTTTATAACATTACAATTAAATAAAGTGTATCATAGACTATTTATACAGAAAAAAAAAATTAAAATCTTTGTCTCATTTTATGTGTGTAATGATTTTTTAAGCAATTTATTGTGCTTTTTAAGTTTGGAATACATAGCTGGGGATTACTTATCATAAAATTATGTTTTTTTGCTTTATTTAATAATATTAAAGTTATATATATATGTGAGTCTTTGTGTTTTGTTATTCTCTTATAAAATATAATTTTTAAAATATTTAATGAAGTATATAAGTTTTTCTCTGTGCGTGTAAATCTTTCTGTACTTTTTCATTTTTATTCATGCATCATCTTTTTTTTTTCAGATTGCATGGAAATTAGTGATATTATTTATTTTATGTGATGCTTATGAGAAAACGATATCTCATCGTTTATCTTTTAAAGAATCCCACAAGTTTAAAAAATTTATAAATGAATTGGAGTTAAACTTTTATTTAATGTGTCTGAAATCATTTTTAGGTAAGTTTAAAAATATTTTGTTCAAATACTATTACTTGTTATATGTTAACTGATTTTTTACTTTTATTTATTTATCACACCAAATGCATGAACTTAAGACAGACATAAGAAGTAAAATTTTAACTTTTCAAACTTCTGAAAAATCCACATTTATATGTAGAATGAGCTAAAAAAATTAATAATAACTATTTATTATGAATTAATAATGAATAACTATAGTTAATGATTGAATTTTGACCAACTAAATGCGAATCTGAAAGAATCCAAGAGCCAACCTCAAATATACCAAGCAATTAGTGTTAACTATTATTTTAGTTACAGAATCAAACACAAAGTAAACTTTTTCTAAATAAATATACCATTTTTTCCAACAGATTTGGATTTTTACGTATCAAAATGATAATAGCAAAGAAAACTGAATATTAGGCGAATAATAAATGTATTTTTTAACTCTCTTTTTCTCAAGAACTGTTCACCCAACTTTATATTTTGTCATTTTAAACTTAGAATTCAAAAACTTTTTGAACATTATTTTAATAAAATAATACAAATTAAGTAATAATTATTAAAAATTATTTTATTCATAAAAATTATCTTTGTGTAAACAAATTTTATAATTGTGTGCAAAAAAACAATTTAAGTTACTTAAAAACTTCAGAAGGCATGATGAAATATGCAAAAAAAAAGATAAATGATTACTGATCTCCTGACTGAACAGTTGGAACTTACATTTTCTAAATTGCAGGTACCTCCGATAATTTAATAGTCAGAAATCTGAATCAATCAATAAGAAAAGCATGTTTATTCAGAAAAAGTAGGTATGTTTCTGAAACTGATTCTGTAACTTAATTAATAGTTAGCTCTAATTAATTAACGGATTTGACATCACCTCTAAAACATTAAAATTGGCCCTTAGTTTGTGAAGATCTGATCATTAGAATAACGAATTACATCATCCAAGGTGATACCTTTTTTCTTTGCTAACTACACTTCTTATTATTAAATACTCAATGTATTCACATGTATATAACAATCGACAAGAATGTAAAAAATAAGAATATATCTATATTTCTGCATTTTTTAAAATGGTAAACTTCAAAAGGTGAGAATTTTACCTCCTCTGACTTTTAGGTATATCAGCAATAAAAAATAATTTTATTTGAGTTGAATGCATATTCAAAATTACAGTAATATGTAATAATTAAAAATTGCAAAACCTTTGCTTTTATTTTTATGAGAATATATATAATTCAAACTTTCTTACATTTGTTTAGCTTTAGACTATACTTGATTACTTTATGTGACAAAAATTCAATTAATGGAACTTTATTTTTAAAAAATAGTAACTAATTATAAAATTGAATAGTGTGATCTGCTACATTGAATTAAAACCAGTTATGGAACTTAATTAAATTTTAAGGACAATTAATAAATGTCTTAAAATTTAGCAACATGTTTTTTTTTTGTAGTCATTAAGAACTTTAAAATTACATATTTAGGCAAGAAAAGATTATTTAATTGCAAATATCAAATAAACAAAATATATGTAATTAACACACATTTATAACAGCAATCACAGTACTTTTTTAATCTTATTGGGTTACTTTGACTCCTTAAGTAAATTAATAATTTTTTTTTCACTTTGTGTGAATTTTATTTTCATAATGAAATTATATATTAATAGTAATCTTTATTGTTATTTTTTATTATTTATTTACATTTTAAAACAAAGTAAGAAATATATTTGTTTTATTTCTACAAATATATTTTTAAAAAAAGTTATTTCTATTTCTACATATAAACTTATAGCCCATCCGAATGAAATCCTTTTTTTCCCTTCAATTTCTAAGAGTTTATATTAAATATAGACATAAATTTTCTTAAAAAATCTTTCAAAAACGAAAAATTTTTGATGTTAAAGTAGAAAATATTTTGCAATGGGAACAAAGCTTATAAAATGAATACATTAAATAGGTAAGAATGATTTCTTCTATTACCCTATATTTGCTGCCAGGTATAGAGATAACTTTCTAACCTATACAAACCTAAATCCTTTGCTTATATCAGAGATGCTGATCCTTTTTCAATGAGTATGCCTTTTAAACTACAGTTTATTATTTTCAAATGTCTAGTGTGCCACTTGTTATTTTTTATTTTAAATAAACTGATGTACTTTGATTTGAAACTATATAGTTCACTGTGTAACTATTTTTACTGCTTATTTAATAAATTGCTTCAAATAGAAATCAAGCAAACAGCATTTTAAAATTTATTTCTATTTAATGTTAAAATAAAATTGAGGTAATTAAATGTTAGATTTTTTTTTTTTTTTTTTTTTTTTTTTTTTTTTTTTTTTTTTTTTTTTTTTTTTTTTTTTT